TCAGGTCCCTTCCGACCCTAGAAACTATGAAACTAAGAATATACAAAATGCCTATAAAAGTAAAGAGATTGTTAATAATTAAGGAATTTTTTTCCTTTCCCAATTAATATGTAAAACATCATTTTAGTGAAATGGCATCGAAACTGAAACATTTCTCCTTTATGGAAAGGCTGTTTCTAAAAACTTCTCCCCCCTTCTTGTTGTGCTGTTCTTTGGTCTTTGAGGAAATAAATGCCTGAGAAGTGATTTGGTCTGCTGTTGTGAGAAGTTTACTCTTCTGTGGTGGAGACTGTTGAGTTTAGTAATAGCAGTCGCTGCTAACATTATGGGTCAAAGAGATGAGTTGGTACTTCCCATAGTAAGAATTGTTTTTAGACTGATGCTTTAAATTAGTAAACTTTTGAAAAGAATAATAAGAGTTATGATTTAGTTAGTTTATGTTGCTGCATTGAATCAAATAGTCTGCAAGTACTTAAGAGAAGCTTTTGGTTGAGTCTCGCTTAGTACAACTGGTAAATGTTTAGACATTGTATTGTTGTCACTTAGTGAAATGTGATATTAAGGGTTTTTTAGGTTGGTTTTCAAGAATTGTTGAATAGAAGGCCAAGTGTATAAGTCTTTTCCTGCAAAGAACTGTATTTAACTCCTGCTCTAACACAACACAGTTTGAAGAATATGGTTTTTGTTATTTCTCATTCTAATCATCGTAATGTTACTAGGGCGCAAACCAGAGGAAGAGGGTGTTGAAGATAATGGATTGGAGGAGGATTCTGGAGATGGACAGGTATGTGCTACTGCATTTGAGGTGAAAAATAATAGTGTTGCATTTAAGTCACAATGCCTATTATATGTACTTTTTTTCTTTTTACAGGAGGATATTGAAGCAAGTTTGGATAACTTGCAGGATATTGACATGATGGATATTAGTGTGTTAGATGAAGCTGAAATAGATAATGGCAGTGCTGTAGATTGCGGAGAGGATTACAGTGCTGATAATATTCTTGACTCACTGTCTGATAGTAAAGAAAATGATGATGCAGAAATGAAAGAACTTCCAGATCAGCCTACAGAATATCCTGTAGGTAACTTGGAGGCATCTCCGCAATTATCAGAAATTAA